TACACAATTAGGAACTCTGTGCATACATGTATACACATACATGCACGCATGTACATGTGTGTAACACTGTATGAGACAGTACGCGTGTATGTATAAGAAGGGCCCGGCGAGCCCAAGCGCGTTCCGAGAAGCCTCCGATACGGTCCGAGAGGGTCCCGAGACGGCTCAGGAGCACTACAAAACGCGCCAAGATGGCCTGAAGATGGTTCACGTGGTCCCCAAGACGCCCGAAGAGGGCTCCAAGAGGACCCCCATAAGGGTCCCAAGAGGCCAAATACGTAGATTGTCCTTGCTTTTTAAAAGGATTTTGGCGCCCCCAACCTGACGGGCTTCCGACCGCTCGAGACTGCACACAAGATGGCCCAAGATGATCCATGATGGCCCAAGAGGCCCCAAAGGCTCCAAGACGGCCCAAAAAGCTTCCAAGACGACCGAAGACAGCCCCAAGACGACCCAAGAAGGCTCCCAGGGGGCAACTCGAACACACATTCCGACCCCTCCGCCCCAAGATGACCCAAGAGCCCCCAAGAGGCCCTCTCTGAAGCCCCCAAGAGGCCCAAAGGGCTTCCCAAGAGGCCCACCAGAGGCTCCCCAGAGGCTCCCAAGATCCCCACAAAATGCTCCCGAAGAGCCCCCGAGTGGCTTCCCAAGAGTGCGCCGGTAGCCTCCCAAAGAAGCCTCTGTCCCACCAGGCCCCGACAGTCAGAGCTTGCTTGTCCACTGCGACTCCTGACCTGGAGGCAGTGTGCTAGCCTGTGAATGCAAATGCTGGAGTGTGGGGTTCACTCTGCAGGCTTCTTATCTTTGGGACCCTAGGCGCTCCGACGGCCAAAATACAACGCTCTACGAGGGGGAGAGGGACGGAGGAGGAGGAGGAGAAGGAGGAGGAGGATGAGGAGGAGAAGGAGAGGTGGAGGACGAGGAGGACGAGGAGGAGGAGGAGGTGAAGGAGGAGGCGGAGGGGAGAGTAGATGGGGTGTAGGAGGGGAGGACGGACGGGGTAGGAGGGTATGACAGAAAGGGTAGGAGGGGAAGACGAAAGGGAAGGACCAGAAGGAGGACATGGAGCAGGGCAAGGATGGGGGGGGGGAGGAGGAGGAAGGGGTAAGCAAGGAGGAGAGCGAAACAAGGGATGAGGACAAATAGCAAGAGGAGGAGGAGGAGGAGGAGGAGGAGGAGGAGGGGGAGGAGGGAGGGTGGAGGAGGGGGATCAGAGTAAGACCACGATGCTTCAGCGATGCTGCAAAACGCCCTCCTGTCCCAAGATATTTCACATTTCCCCAGAAGGAGTTTGTCAACCCCAGGAAGCGCTCCCGTAAAACACAAGGGACACGTCTGCCTGCCGTGCAGGCGAAGAGCCTAAATGCCCCCGAGAAGCCCTGAAGCAATCCGCACACAGGCGTCCACATGGAATCTGCCCTAGCAGCGACACCCTGACAGGGTGTCACTGTTTTAGAGCTTCGCGTTCGGGTGTTGGAGATGAGGCAGTCTCATCTCCCACACCCGAACGCGAAGCTCTAAAACATGGCCACCCCACACACAGACACACACACACACACACAAAAACACACACACACACACCGCACGCACACACACGCACACACACACACACACGCGCACGCACGCACGCATGCACGCATGCACTCACACACATACATACACACACGTGGACACACGCACACACGCACACACGCACGCACGCACGCACACACGCAAACTCGCACACACGCACACGAGCACACACGCACGCACGCACGCACGCACGCAAACACGCACACACGCACACACGCACACGCTCACACACACACACACGCGAACACGCACACGCACACACGTGCACCCGCGCACCCGCCCACGCACGCACGCACACGCGCGCACGCACACAGACACAGACACAGACACAGACACAGCCACAGCCACAGACACACACAGCCACAGACACACACACACACACGTATACGCACACAGACACACACAGAGGCACACGCAGACACACACACACACAAACGCACACACACAGTCACACACGCACAGACACACGCAGGCACGCACACTGACACACACGGGCACACACAGACACACACACACACAGACACACAGGCACATAGACACGCACACAGAGACACACAGACATAGACACACGCACACACATACACACATAGACAAACACAAACACACGCAGACGCACACAGGCACACACACACAGACACCACACACACCACACACAGACACACAGACACACACACACAGACATACGCACAGGCACGCCACGGCACGCACAGACACACACTCACAGACACGCACAGACACACGCACAGACACACAGAGACACACAGACAGGCACGCACACACAGACACACACACACACACACACACACGCAAACACACACAGACACACACACAGACACACACAGGCACACACAGACACACAGACACACAGACAAGAACACACAGACGCACACGCACGCACGCACAGACACACGCAGGCACCCACACACAAACACAGACACACACAGACACACACACAGGCACACACAGACACTTACACACACGCAGGCACGCGAAGACACACACACACACAAACACACACATTCACAGACACACACAGACACGCACAGACACACACGCAGACACGCACAGACACACACACACATACGCACACGGGCAAACACTGACACAGACACACTTACAGACACACACACACACAGACACACACAGACACACAGAGGCACACACACACACAGACACACCCCGAAAAACACTCAGACGCACGCAAAGACTCACACACGGGCACACACAGGCACACACAGACACGCACAGACACGCACAGGCACACACGCAGACACACAAAGACAAACACACAGACACACACACACACACACACACAAACATGGACACATACACACATATACACACAGACGCAGACATACACACAGACGCACGGTCAGACGCACACACGGACACACACGCACAGACACCCACACACAGACACAGACACACACACACACACAGACACACGCACACAGCCACACCGACACACACAGGCACACGCAACCAGACACACACACAGACACATTCACATACACACACAAGCGTTCACACACAGAGACTCACGCAGACACACGAACACACGCACAGACGCACACACAGACACGCACCGACAAATCCACAGACACACGCAGACACGCACAGCCAAACACAGGCACACACACGGACACACACAGAAGCACACGCAGACACACACAGACATCCACACACCGACACACACAGACGCAGACGCACGCACCCACACCGACACACACAGACATACACAGACACACAGACCCACACACACAGGCACCCACACACACAGGCGCGCATACACACAGACACATGCACAGACGCACACGCAGACA